ATACTTGCCTTGAAACTCCAGACACGACTCCCAATGCCAGGTTGAGATACTTGTCTTCATACGAAGACATTCCATCATTACTAGCACTATCAGTTTGCAAAATAAAGCCAAGAACATCTTCAGGATGCGATTCAAACAATACAACTACAATACAATTATATTACAACACTCGTGCGCGATAATCAGGAAAATTGCTATAAAAGGTTTGTTTTTCTGCCTAAGGCAATCAATCCGTATCTAGGGTAAACAAACACTTAGGAAGTGATTTCTGCAGTCTTTTACAAGGAAACTGTAATGCTTTACCAAGAATTTAGCGTTCAAAGTTGGCCGAACACTTTCCGACCACGAGAATTGCCATAATAGGCTTAGATTATTTTGCAATCTCCCGAGACTGCTCCGAGCTATAGAATGCAAGATGGTGATTCGTTTGGTATATTTGCCTTTATTATACATTAAAAAGAAGCAAAAATACAAGCATTTGAATCAAGCGGAACATTCAAAATGCAACAGCAAAATTGATAATGCGTCATTTGCATAAATTTCACCGCATTGATCATTTCAAGGTACGAAATTATATATATATATATATAAATATTGGAATGTGAACTTCAACTATACATTTAAAAAATTAAAAAATTAAGTTCATTTACTCGAATTTCACGCCTATATTGGCGATCATCAGACTGCCTGTCCGTATTAAAACGTCCTTATTTATACCTATTTATAAACTATATAAAATTAGCATGAACATTTACATAATTACAATTAAAATTATTTACGTTACATTACTAGCATAAAACTTGTTTTCATGCCGACATTTTGATATTAATTCTGATCGTTTGTTTAGAAGAGTTCCCTTGTGAGCGTTTAGAATTGCCATTTTTTCTGCCAGGCACAGTTTACAAACTTTTGTTCCGCTTGCATACGGTTTAGCCTTCTTCAAAATTGACCATTTAATTTCATAATCCCTTTTCGTTTTCTTCAGATCCCAAATGAATTTCGATAGCACTGTTTTGTTTGCATAGTCTTTGTTTTTAAATGATAGGGTATGGTTGTAAAACCTCGTTTTGAATTCCGATTCCGCCATGCCGACGTAAACCTTAGGGTCGTCATCTTTTCCTGGTTCAAAGACTTTCACTTGGTATTTGTAGCTGTTGTTAAACATTGATTATCTAATGGGCATAATATATATCGATCTAATGTAACCTAGCATCATTCCTGATGATGACTTAAATCTTAGTCGAAAGCTAGAATATCAAAATGTTTAATTTCGGAGCTACAGTTGTTTTATATTTTATTAAAATACTCAGTGGTTCATGTAATTTCAACAAGATGCTCTACTTTACATTGGCCACAACTACACCAATCCTTAACATCAACTCGCTTTTGAATCGTTCAGCAAGAACACCAGCAGAAAGGCCATCCAAATCAACTTCATCATTGCTGGAGCTTGTGCACTGTCATTTGTTTGGTCGATTGCTTGCCAATGGTTCATGAACATAAGGTTCAAATTGCCCATAAACCACACCACATCGCTCTTCTGAGTCGCTAGAAGATTCTTGTGGACTTTATTGATTCCACTCTAAACACACTATTCCAGTCTAAACACTAGACTTGTCTATTTACATAATGGAACATGCAAACAAATTCCAATTACACAAGGGCCTCTGAGGCCTGCATGTGTAATTAAGGTTATATGAGCAAACAAAGGGAGAAATATATGGGAAAACAAATGGTAAGGCTTGCCTTTCCTGTGCATTAGCTCACAATTTAACGCTTCTGGTACAGTAACGGAAGTGAACAGAAGAAAAAAGCCCAGATCACATGATCCTCCTTACGTATAAATACGCCGGCCACGTTGGCTATTTTCAACATGTAAAGCCTCCTAGTGAATACCAGGGAGGGATTTTGTACCCAGTAAGGTACGAAAGGGTGGGAACCCATATATTTCTCCCTTCGTTTGCTCATATAACCGTAATTACACATGCAGGCCTCATAGGCCCTTGTGTAATTGGAATTATATTTCGCAAACTCCGGTCGAAATATATGGGAAAACAAATGGTAGATTTCAATGCTAAACGCGGTACTAAACTCATATATTTCGACATAAAAATCCTGTAAATATGTGATAACAATAAAACCGAGTTTGGTAATAACATAATTTTATCTAGCACTATTGATCAATACTGTTTGTGCATACGAAACATCAACAACAGGTTTGTAATAACACCAATTGAAGGTGGAAGGAGAGGACCAATCTCCCATTTTCAAAATGTCACCAAGAGGTAAATTGTTTTTCGCAGCTGCGGAAGTGGACGCTGCTCGTGTGGAATGTGCTTTAGAAATTGAAGAATCAATACCAGCTTCCTGTATGACGTCACATAACCATCTAGCAATGGTACATCTAGACACTGGGTTATGAGGTCGTTGGAATGACAAGAAAAGTTTCCCATGGCCAGGTGATGTGCGAAAACCGCTGGTTAGGTTCAGGTAACAATCCATTGGGCAAAGAGATGTATCTTCAGGGAAAATTGGAAAAGACACTGAAGCCTCCGATATTGGGTCACCTGTTTTGCGCGGTTTCGTGAGTGTAAACGTGAAACCATCTGGTTGTTTCTTTAAACGACCAATGTCAAGGTCCGCTAGGACTGAGGACTGTTCTGGTGAAATTAGGGCCAAAAGCATCGCAAGTTTGCCAACTTGTTCTGGTGAAATTAGGGCCAAAAGCATCGCAAGACAACATATTGTTGTGTCCGAGAGAAGATAAATATGCAGTTACTTTAGAGACATCCCAGGTTGTAGAGTAATGAGGTTGAGGTGGCCGTTCATTAGCGATTCCTTTCAGAAGACGAATCACCAGAGGGTGTTGACCAACAGGTTTCCCATCAACCCAACGATGTGTAGACGAGATAGCTGATCGGAACACATTGAGTGTACGATATTGCAAATTGTTCTCAAATTGTTCTCCGAGGAACGTTAAAATGTTGTTTAAACCTGCTGAAATTGGATCAATTTGTCGTCGATCACACCAGCCACACCATTTTCACCATACGGAGTCGTAAGTCTTGTTAGTCGATTTACGAGTAGCAGCTGAAAGAAGTCTGGTAACGTGTTCCGGAAGGTCTCCTGTTTCACAGGATCGTTGGAAACAAGCCAAACGGCTAGATGCAGGCGTGGAAACATTGGATGGATCGTTGTTGGGTTGGCAGGATTCTCTAGTGTTTCTGGAGTCGACGGCAGGATCACTGGAGATCGTATTGCCAGTTGAAGAAGAAGGGGCCACCAAGTCTGCCCCTGCCATATTGGGGCCACCAGGACGATGGTGGCATTGTCCTGTTGTACCTTGATTAGTGTTCGCGGTACGAGGTTGAAGGGGGGAAGGCGTAGCCTTTCAAAATGCCCCAATTTAGAGTAAATGCATCGGTTGCGAACGCGTGTGGGTCGGGATGCCAACTCACACAACGTGGGAGCTGGTGTGTCAGTCTGGTTGCAAAGAGGTTGATGTCTCTTGTCCTGAAGGAACTTCTTAATGAGGTTCTGGTGAATTCTCCAGTCGCTCGAATCGACACACGTTCTCGATTCTCTGTCCGCTAGGTAATTCGCTACTCCTGGCAAGTGTTCTGCCTGTATGTAAATATTTCGACTGACACACCAGTTCCACAGCTCCAGTGACAATGTTATTAAGTTTGGGGAACGTGTCCCCCCTTTGTTGTTTATGTACGCGACTGCGGTTGTATTGTCGAGCCTTAACTTTATTGACGTGTTTGTCCTGTGTTTCAGGAATGTCTGGATTGTCAGAAAGGTTGCTTTGAGTTCTAATATGTTGATGTGCATTAAACGCTCCTGTGCGGACCAACTGCCCTTGGCTGTGAGGTGGCCGCATGTGCCCCCCCCCCCAACCCAATTTCGACGCATCCGACGTTATCGTCAGTTCGTATGTGGGAGGATGGATTAGACTGCCGTTGACCTGCTGGATGTTGGAAATCCACCATTGCAGTTCCCTTTGTGCTAGGGGTTCCAGGAATACGAGGCCTTCGTAAGACCCTTTGTTCAATGTTACTTGTTGTATCAGACGGTTCTGAAGGTGTCTGAAATGAAGTGGCGCCAACCATATTGCAGGGCGTGTTGATTCGAGAAAGCCCAGCAATTGCGCCAGTCGGCGCAGTGAAACCGGGTTTCTTTGAAGTAGTGAATAACATAGTTGGGTTGTTTTCATCACTTTGGGGGGCGGCAGGTAGAATTTCATTGACCTGGAATCGACTAGTAGACCCAAAAATTCCATCACTTGGGAGGGGTTTAGTACGGACTTCTCTAAATTTATTATAAAGCCCAGGCTTCTCAGAAGCTCTAAAACCAGTTGCGTGTGTTTGTTCAAGGCTGTTATATTTGAACCTACAATTATAATATCGTCCAGGTAAATGAGGAGCCGAATACGTACGAAGGAACGTATGACAGGTTTGAGAAGTTTCGTGAATATTCTTGGGGCTGTGCACAACCCGAATGGCAGGGCTTGAAACTGGTATGTTTGGCCCTTCCATATAAACCGAAGGTATTGTTGAGAGTCCTTGTGAATGCCCACTGTTAGGTAAGCGTCCTTGAGGTCCAGTTTGACCATAAAGTCGTTTGGGTTCAGTAGTTGTTTGAGACACAGAATGTTTTCCATCTGAAAATGTTCGTTTGAGATAAATTGATTTAGATTGCTTAAATCTATAACTGGGCATAAGTTGCCTCCTTTGGTACAAGGAAAAGGCGGCTGTAAAAGCCCATTTTGGAAAATTTTACTGGGAGAATTGCCCCCTTTGAAAGAAGCTTTGAAATTTCGTTTCCCAATACAGGGATGTTTTCGCGCGAGGTTGATGTTGTGGGAATGACCCTTTGCCAAGGTCGAGTGTGAAACTCGATGCGATAACCTCGAACTATATTTAAAATTGTTGAATCTTGAGTTAGGTTTCGCCATTGTTGTAGAAAATGTTTTAGACGAGCGGCTGGTTTTATGTTTATTATTGGCGGAACCAGGCCCTGTCTGGCTGGTCCCACCTTGGGCGAAAACTTTGCACTTGGTTGGCTTCTGGCGAGAAGCGTTGTTGATTGTTTGATGTGGAATTGCGCGGAAAGGGCCGATTAGATTTGCCCCAAGTTTGTTGTGTATTGTACTTGGTACGAGGAAAATTTCCCGATGTATTAGACTGCATTTTGCTATAATTAGGTTTTTGCAAATTTTTACTAAGGCTCCGAGTAAGCTCGGAATGTTTAGCCGCCAGAGTGGTTAAATCCTCGCCAAAAAGCATTTTTCCCGCCTTTGGGAATTCTTGTTCGGCTAGTTGAACTTTATCTGGATTTATAGCTGCCAAAATTTTCTTACGACGGAGGGTCGTAGTGATATGGTTTGCTGAACCCAGCAAACAGAGCGATTGCTGTAAAGTTGTTTGTAAATCTTCATTTGAAATATTTTCGTTCGATTCAAGACGATCGTGTAAACAACACAAAGGCGCCGCGGCGTTTAAAGTAGCTCGTTGAATGAGAGCTAAATCTTTGTCCCGTTGTTCGATAAATTTCTTTCGGCTAGATGGGATATAGGTTAAATTACTTTTATCTAGCAAGGGAGCTACACCAGCATCCGTTTCTGGGGGAGAATATTCCCCAATAATCTCATTTACTTGCTCTGTATTGAGCCGCCGTCGAAACTTTTTCTCGAGAAATGTACCAAAGGCAGCTGAGGGAACCCAGCGACGTGCTGTTGTTTGTTTGGGATCGAAAAATCCTGTTGATGACTTGACATTAGTCGGAGTTTCGCCACTGTCTACGTTGTTTGCATCGACATTATCCAGGAGATTTCCATGAGTACTTTTCGACTGTGCGTCGACTACCGGTGACATAAAGTCATCTAATGGTGGCACAAAGCCAGCTAATGAGGTCTCATCAGGACCGTCTGTGTTGCTGCTCGGAATATCGTTCTCTTCTAGATGTGTTGCTGTAATCGACAGGCGATCGTCTTTGACAGTGCTTTCCTCGACAGGATGAGGAACTTCGAGTGGTTGTTGAACGCGTTGGGATTCTATTTTCGTTACACGTTCTGACAGAGCTACAAATTGCTCTCGCATGTCTTTTACACCACTAAGTATTTGCGAAAGTGTGTGAGAATCAGAGCTATTTCGCTTTGATTCTTTCTTTCGTCGATGACTATCTGATGCTGAGCGAGATGACGACCGATGTCGTTTCCGTGAAGATTTGTGAGACTCAGACATAGCACTGAAAGAGAAAAAAAAACACTGAGAAAAACTACAAAACTTACCTGTGTGAGCGAGCACAAAGAAAAAAGCCGACGGAGCACACGTGGCCAGCGTATTTATACGTAAGGAGGATCACGTGATCTGGGCTTTTTTCTTCTGTTTACTTTCCGTTACTGTACCGGAAGCGTTAAATTGTTAGCTAATGCACAGGAAAGGCAAGCCTTACCATTTGTTTTCCCATATATTTCGACCGGAGTTTGCGAAATATAATTTATGTCACATATGTGACCAGACAATCTCGCCCCCAGGCCAAATTTTGCCTTAAAAATCGAAATTTTATGATCGTTTTTTTTCCAAAGTAAGGGCAAGGAAAAACCAAAACGGCTTCAAACAAGGTAGGTTTGTGTTGTAATGTCTAGCTAAAAGAATGAGAAAATCAGTTTACCTCTAAAGGTCATGCCACAGCTTTCCACAGTACATGTAAAGCTTTAGAACTCTTTGTGCGAGGCACTGCTTGTCTGCAATGAATCGTTCCAAATTTGAAACTAAAGTTGAGGCAACAATTACATTTTCCAAGATCCTTGCTTGTGACTGTAGGTTGCCCTTTATCACCATGCCTGTTGTCAGGGTTCACACATTCTTGCAGGAATGTGTTATAGTGCCCTTTCATAACTTGACTTTCAGATGGAGACGGAAAATTTACACCCCCTTTGCATTTTGTGAAAATTATTTCGTTCAAATACCTATCAATATGCCTATTCATTTCTTTAAACTCTTTCAATGTGTCCGAAAATTTGTGCAAATCTTGGAGAGGAGATTTGAGGCACACCTTTACTCTTTCATAATTATCGAAGATTAATTCGTCATTGTTGCATGGCACAACTTCGACATCTACCTGAAAAGCCATCAAATTTTAGTTCATGCCAATGTTTATCGCGAATGCTATGGATGGCACAATTGAATACTGTGGTTTCTTTTTCTTTGTGGGTGTCATTATCTATACTGCTTTGCAAAGCAGGTGCTGTCCTATCCCCATCAGATAATGAGAAAACAACAACACCTGAAAGCAGATTGCTTAGCGGGGCCCACAAATGTTCTACAGGATCAATTCCTGTAGAACATGCATAGGTCATGACACCAAGGATATCCGCATTCAATTTTTTGAAAAGCCTGTAGTAGAACAACATATTTGCTAAATGTGATGTGTTCTGCTAAAAACATTAAGGCCGATTTCTCCTTCAATGGCTCTCCAGTAGACGGTAAAGGTCGGTCACATGTGTTGCTACAGTTGTTGAATTGTATTTATGTGAGTGTATGCGTATTGTGCTACAACCAGAATAGGGTTTTTAAGATGTGCATAACCCATTGCATCGAATACTATCTCCTCAGATGAAATATTTTTTATATTACAGAATGTTATCAGTGATTCTTGCTTAAATAACAGATTCTTGCTTAAATAACATATCTTCAAACCATCAACCAAATCTACACCAACATAGATTATGTGCTCGACTCTTTCACCACTACTTCTACCTTCAACTACCTGCACAATATCGCCCGATTTTTCCAAGTACAAAATTTGGCAGTTGAAAATACTTGCCAAGGTAAGATTTTGGAACATTTTGTGCACACACAAATCTAAAACTACCTAACTGAAAACAAAATCCTAACTTCTAATCAATTGGTTTCAGACCTAAACTTTCAACCAGCACTGCTTTGACTTTCTTACCGACAACATTCTCGAAAACGCGAAAATTACTGCCTCTGTTTTCTTCGACTTTAGTAAAGCATTTGACACAGTTGACCATGCTATTCTGTTGTGTAAATTAAAATCTGTTGGCTTGGATGACAACTCTCTAAATTGGTTCGAGTGCTACCTTTCCTTTTGCCAACAAGTAACATCCATCGACAATATGCTGTCCAGCTCTCTACCTATGACAGTTGGCGTTCCACAAGGAAGCATTTTAGGGCCGCTTCTCTTCATTATTTATATCAACGATATGCCCAACATTGTTAAACACTGCAAGATAGTACTCTACACTGACAACACTCTTCTATACTACTCATCCAAGTCAGTTAGTGACATCGAGAAATACATAAACGAGGACCTTAATTTGATCTCCCCCCAGTGGCTTGATCAAAACCTACTTACATTGAACTGCAAAAAATCTAAGTTCGTCCTGTTTGGTAGTAACAGCCATCTGAAGTCGTTCACTAATATATACATACATGTCAATGAACATCAACTTGCCTGTGAATGTAGCTTTAAATATCTAGGTATAACTTTCTCAGAAAATCTCACTTGGTCTGACCATTTAAATAATATTTCAACAAAATATAATCAATGCATCAGACTGCTAAGAAGAAGTAAAACCTTCATTCCACTCAAAACTAGACTTATCATCTACAACACTCTTATCTTCCACTATTTGACTATGGAGATATTATATGGGGTGACAAGAATAACTCCTCCTTAATAGATCAACTACAAGTTCTCCAGGTAAGGCTGCAAAGACCATTCTTGACGCTCCCTACCTATCCTCATCCACTGAAGCCCTCAACAAATTACACAGCCAACCACTTACCCACTGATGCAAACTACACCGAATACTAACCATATACAAATTTAAAAATAATTTAACAGAGTTTAATCTCGAACTGCCTAAAACTAATCATTTATATAACACAAGACGCCAAGATGGTATATACCTCTGTAAGCCGAAGACAAACTGGGGAAAGCAAAAACTGCTTTACCGGGCTTGTAAAGAGTACAATGATTTGGACCAGGTGCAGATCCAGACCATGGCAAAAGTGGCTCGAGCCATGGTCAGATTTTTCCCACCTAGAATTTTCCGGGGTTCACCTTTGTTGGATACTGCATTATGCATTTTTAAGAAGTATATATTAGTTATTTGAAATACAAACAATTTGAATAATATCTTTCGTAATTGTTCTCATATTAATATGGATTCTTGCTAAAAGCAGCATTCTGCAGGAAAAATTTCCGAAATATATTCCTTGTTCAATAGTATAATTATCCAGTTGAACACTGAACAATAAAAACCGCCGAAAGTGTGCCGAATATGTTCGAAAAACAGTCGTAAATTCAAAGCTGCGATCACAGCCACAAAATGCCACGATCAGCGTGCAAAAAATTGTGCAATTGTTACTAAATATAGTAATTTTCTGCCACGGTGCAGCATTGCAAACCAATCACAGGGCAAGTTGTGGTCATGTACGCCACGGTGGCTCTATTTTGATTGCACAATACAAATTATCAACAATAAAGTTCCATACTTGTCGACTTAACGGGATAAAGTTACATCACAAGCTACATTGGTCAGTTCGCTGAATCGATCGAATGCTATCAGGATGGAAGCTTTTAAAAAGGTCGATGTTCTTAGGAAGCTTGTTCAAATCGTTCAACAAGCAAACCTAAGCGAACATATTTCAGGGGAATTATCGCTCTTGAGGCAACAATGTGATGAATTTATCACTGAAGAAAGGCTGCGCCATATAACATCTACTGGCGACATCGTGCTGCGAACATGTGACTTTTTAAAACTGCAGTTCCCCAAGAGCCAAATTGAACAATCTGGGCCTAATGTTCCTGTTAGGTAAGAATTTTTAATCGACGTATATTAAATTTGCATTTATGCTGGGGTCAGGGAATAATTTGTGTATGCAAATTTGTATGTATGTAAATTTTTGTTAGTGAAATCATAGGCGGCCCAATCTCAGAATGAATGATCAGGTGTTGCGGGTTTTTAACGGTTTTTATAAACAAATTTTATAGTCAACCAAAACTATTTTAAAAAATTCTTAAATGAGTCAAATAAATACATTTTAACAATAAAATATAGTTGACATAATAGCATAATACCTTTACATTCTTTTAATTAATCCATGAGCTCATTTAGAGCGGCTGATGTAACATTTTCTGTGGCCTACATTGTGTGTGCTCATCTATATATAATATAACAGTAAAAGGCTAATCACTGGCGCCACGACCGCATCACCTTCAAAGTCAAATATCTCCGCTCAAACTTCTCGTACGCCAAAACAAATTCGATTACATCTTTTCACAAAGATTTCTCTTTCTAAATAATATGGTTTGATCGTAGCTTGGGCAAATTTAGCAACGAACGGAGCCAAAATCTCATCAATTTCGGATACTGTTCAAAATTCTTAGGGCTGCTCGGGTACGATCGTGGACGTGACATAATCAAATATACTGACAATAACGCCTTACCCGGGGTGAGACAGCATATCAAATTCGACGATAGTTTGTCTCTTTATGCTGTCCCACCCCACGTACGGAGGTAAGGCGTTATTGTCAGTATGTATTGATTACGTCACGTCCATGATCGTGCCCGAGCAGCCCTAAGTATTTTGAACAGTATCCGAAATTGATGAGATTTTGGCTCCGTTCGTCGCTATTAAAATTTGCCAAAGCTACGATCAAACCATATTATTTAGAAAGATAAATCTTTGTGAAAAGATGTAATCGAATTTGTTTTGGCGTACGAGAAGTTTGAGCGGAGATATTTGACTTTGAAGGCGATGCGGTCGTGGCGCCAGTGATTAGCCTTTTACTGTTATATTATATATAGATGAGCACACACAATGTAGGCCACAGAAAATGTTACATCAGCCGCTCTAAATGAGCTCATGGATTAATTAAAAGAATGTAAAGGTATTATGCTATTATGTCAACTATATTTTATTGTTAAAATGTATTTATTTGACTCATTTAAGAACGTTTTTAAAATAGTTTTGGTTGACTATAAAATTTGTTTATAAAAACCGTTAAAAACCCGCAACACCTGATCATTCATTCTGAGATTGGGCCGCCTGTGGTGAAATGGTATTAAATATGATTTCGAACACAATCATGGCGGTTGTCAATAAAATATAAATTGCATTTATCCGCTATGTAGTTGTGAAATATTAGTAAATAACTCTCTTTAAAACGTGTTATCAATATTTTGCTACTTTTTACGGCTACAACATTCGATTGTCAAATGTTTACTTCAGTTTTGTTCTAAGCTAGGCTAATCCTTGGTTAAAATTTAACCTAGTGTTTTTGTTTGTGTGTTTCTGCATGCCTGTTTACTTCAAAGCTTTGAAGAAATCTTTCATTCATCCAGACAAGATTTCTGAAGAAATATTTCTAAATTGCTTGTGTGATGTTACTCTGAGTGTATATCCACACCAGGCAGGCTTGAAAAATATGCCTGGCCACAGTGGAATTCGAACCTACGACCTTTGGAATACTAGCCCAATGCTCTGCCAACTGAGCTACGTGGTCAGGTCGGTTCGAGTATGCGATACTTCGTAACTGAGTCTAGTTCCTTCCATATCAGTGTAATCTAACAATCATGATATTGCTGTGTTGGACTGTTGGTGTAATGTACTCAGGTGAATAAGATGCTTGTGTGATGTTACTCTGAGTGTATATCCACACCGGGCAGGCTTGAAAAATATGCCTGGCCATGGTGGGATTCGAACCTACAACCTTTGGAATACTAGCTCAATGCTCTGCCAATGAATACTAGCGCAATGCCTCTGCCAAAGGTCATAGGTTCGAATCCCACTATGGCCAGGCATATTTTTGAAGCTTGCCCAGTGTGGATATACACTCAGAGTAACATCACACATCTCATTCACCTGAGTACATTACACCAACACAGCAAATATTATTTCTAAATTCCTAGACAATTTGCTTTGAATTT